TTTTTTTTTTTTTTTTTTTTTTTTTTCTTAAATGAATTTATGAGAATAATTATACTGTATATATAATATATATATAATATATAATATACATATTATCTATAATTTATATATGTATATATCATATATGTATATAATATATATATATATATATGATATACATGTTGACTACAGATTCTCACATAAATTCACAAGAAATGAAATGAAATTCATCCAAAAAAAGAAAATCTGCAGGCGATAAAAATACAGTCTTGCAAACATTTCATATTTTCTTGCAAAGAGTCTAAAACTATTCTAGTTTCAATGAAAGAACGGTATTAACCTGTATACGTAATGTAAGTTGTAATATTCTGTACGAATTAACGCTATTTGCAGATGTTAATAACCTTAAACGGTAATTACCAACAAAAAACCGTAGTTAAAATAAAAAATTTTCCCAACACTAAGTTTCCCATATAATAATATTATATTAGTTAATATAAAAGAGGGAGGGTCCGAGAAAGAAATTAAAAAAATGGGGTGTATCAAAGAAGAAAATCTTTGAAAGTGTTGGATGGATCGTTACCAAATGAAGTGTAAGAGATTCCCATTTAAGGCTTTGAACCCAGAGGTTCGTGCATGGATAAAATAAAAGCGTGAAAATATGACTGAAAAAGTGAAGGTTAAAATAAACAATGCTTATCACATTTTGTTTACAAGATATTTGCGCAACAAATGATCGCAAACAAAGCCCAAAAGAAAATCTAGGGAAATTCAGGTAATACTCCACGCTATTGATATACTTTTATGTTTACAATAATTTGAAAGGAAACAGATGAACTAATAAACAAATTTAATAATTGCACCAATTATCATTGATTCAACTCATTCTTCCTTCCCACTTCAACTCTATCATCTCCCGAATTATTGATCAAATATGGTATTCGAACTTCCGACCTCATCTTTTGATCCAACTTCTCAATTCCATTATAAACCCTTGCCATGATGCTGCTTTGACTTTTTTTTTTTTTTTTTTTTTTTTCGCTAATTGTTTAATATTTTTTTTTGTTTTTGTTATTTTTTTTTCGATAATTTTTTTTTTTTGTGAAATTAATAAAAATTAGAAGTATCTTTATTCAAAATATTTCCATTTTTTTTTATTATTTACGCGAAGAATACATTACGCGTAAAAAATATTAAAAATATTTTCAGATCCTTTAAATATTTTTTTTTTATTTTTTTTATTGTAGACACTCTTTCATTATTTTTTTTTTATTATACCCCGCATTCTTTCCAAAACCACAATATCCCCAATCAACAATTCGTCATAGTATTATCCGTGCATATAATAATTAATTAAGGCTCTTGATGTAAGTATTCATATCGGGTAATTTAATTAATATGTGGAATAAGTGGGCATTTACTGTCCCCTAAATTGTGTTTGATTAAGTCTGCGTATCACCCCTTCAACTTCAACTTCCCCTAAAAGAAATAAATATATAAAAAAAAAAAAAAAAA